CAGAAGCAGGTGCGCATGGGCAGAATGCAACGTGGGTTTGTTTGGGTCAATGACAACGCTGCGGAGATTTTTCAGGCCAGTCGTATTTTAGTTTTTATGAGAGTGCTGAGGGAAACTTGATTGAAGAAAATGACCTTATAGTGAACACAGGGTGAGTCAACTTTTAGCCTTGGTTTGTCTCTCTGACTTGCTAACAGCGTGTAAACTGAAGTTCTCAGTGTTAGCTGCTCTTGTAAAAACGCTGCACGTTGTTCTGTTGCTGTGTGCGTCATGTGTAGGTAGTCTATTCGTCCACTGCACATAACACATTAAACAGTTTAGTCAACCAACCAGCATATCTAGAAACGCTACAGACTCCTGTATTCATGTCAGTTGTTGGGCTCATTGCAGTTACTATCACTGACATAATACATATTTGTTTTCATGTAACTGTGCACAGGGTCATTGTATTACCTATATAATATAAAATCTGCACACTTAAATGATTTTGATATGTTTACAAAAGGTATTTGATTTTTTATGCAAACAAAATGTCAATTGTATTTGTAGTTTTCAATATAAAACTTGTTGAAATGGTTTCAGTATGTGTATCAGTACATTTTAATCTTTTTTGGCACATTTTTACAATACCATGATAATACTGATAACGTGATAATTTTGGTCACTATAATCGTGATATGAAATTTTCATACCGTTTCAACCCAAGTACACACTGTGCAGGTGTGGAATTGGCAGCTGAACGCAAACGAACATCCTTGTTGATCCTTGGAAAGGAAGAAAACTTTACACACGTCAGCCTGTAGGATGTCCTCCATCCTTTCCACAGATCTGCATGATTCACGTGGGTCATATTTTCAGATCGGAAAATCGAGAATTCCGGATTAATCCGGAAAAATCACATCCCTGCTGATGACATTCCCATCAGGCTCAGCTCTACTTTGTGTTTAGTGCTAATTACCTAAAGGGCAGCACGGTGTCTTAATGGATAGCACTGTGGCCTCACAGCAAGAAGGTCCTGGCCTTTCTGTGTGGAGTTTACATGTTCTCCCCGTGTCGACGTGGGGTTCCGCCGGGTGCTCAGATTTCCCCCACCATTAAAAACATGCTAGGTTGGTTCTCTAGTCAGTGCTGCTTGACCAATCACTCCGTTCAATCAGGAGTTGGTCCCTTCAGAGATGGGTTAAATGCAGAGAATGAATTTTGCTGCATCTATGTGTATGTGACAAATACAGTAGTAGAGGTGGAAGGTGTAGTTCAAAGATACAACAAATCAAACCAGGTACACAAGCCTCCAGGTAAGTGAGGCAGGCAAGGTAACCAGGTAACTTAAGCAGTCCATACCAGGCAAACAAGTCCAGAATCCAAAGTCCAATTTAACAGGCACGTTCCAATTGAAATAATCCAAAAAGCAGTGGGAGAACACCGACGAAAAGGCTGGAATGTTAAGTCTAGAAGGCACTTTCACACTTATTTTCCAGGATTATTACGCCATAATGCTGGCTCACTGTGCTGTATGAAAGGTTCGGAGCAGGGAGGGGGGGGCAGATTGTTGGTAGTAACAGTAACGATGTCTGTGTGAAAAGCCACTGCTGGCATGCTGGAACAGGTGTGGCGTTTCAACGCTGTTGTGTAATAAGTCATAGTCTTCTTTTTTTCACTGCCTAACCCGGAAAACTGGATCGCTATATGAAAGCACACATGGTTGTGGGATTATGCCACAATATTTTGTTCAGTGTGAATGAGCAAATGCAGCAATGTTGTGGACATTCTTTTCGCGTTTATTGCTGGATCGTTGTGTGAAAGCGGCTAAAGACAAAAGCTGCTTTCACACCGCGTTAATTTCCGGGAGTGTTGCGCCAATAATATAGTAATTGTATTACACCTAATAGTCTTTTTCTACGCCGCTGCTTCCGGAAAGCCGGATCACTACATGAAAGCACACGTGGTTGAGGGATTATGCCGCAAACGTTAGTTTAGTACGAATAGGCAAATGCAGCATATTGGATATTCTTTGTGCATTTATTGTGAGATCTCTGTAAGAAAGTGGCTAAAGATGAAGGCACTGAATGAGGGAAACAGATAAATTAAATACACTTGACGGGTGAAGATAATGAGAGACCGGTGCCACTAATCAGAGAGGGGTAGACAAATTATACATGCGGGAAACACACAAAGGCAGGAAGTGAAGTTAACAAAGACACATGAGGAAGGACTCAAACAAAATAAAATGGGAAATACAAAACAAAAACCCAATGACAATGCATGCAATGACTTTTATACTGTGGCTAAACCTTGCAGCTCTTGCATTTTTACCTTCCCTGAGCTATTGAGGAGTAGGCATAGCTATTATTCATTAGTTAAATGGTGTAATCACTAAGTTCCCTTTCTTCGTATGCAAGCTGCCTAATCATGAATTAATTCATTAATTGTATGAGCTTTTATCTCTTGTTACATGTACCCTTGTAGTCATTAATGATTTTAAAATTGATGTCTATTGATTTTATCATCACATTCAGAGCCGGCAGTAGGCCTTCGGGGGCCCTATTCAAAATTTTGTTGGAGGTTAATTAAGTCATCTCTGTCCCCAGTAACTCATCCTGTATGTTTTATACAAGCACAGCTAACGCTACCTTAGCATTAGCCAAATGTTAAAAACAAGCTAAATAGAAAGCTGTCGGTCTGGAGCACAGACTGGTCTGTAGTCTTAAAAACTCAGCTGCTGGCTGAGACAAACCAGCCGCTCCTCCTTCTACCTGGTAACGTTACCTGCAGTCAGCGAGAGAGGAGGAGGGACTGATGCAGACTGATGTTATTCTTTCTAAACGTCACTCACTACTACTAGTGATGTCCGATAAAGTTATTGAGTTACTTTGCTGTTGTAAACAATGTTGCTGCTCTAGAAACAACATTTAGCTGTATTTAAAATATTAAATTAAAAACAACCAGGCAGTTAATATGTACCCTTCAATATATGTTTATTTATCACAAGTGATGTGTGTCAAATAAGTTGAGATCCCAACGCTCTTGCTATCAGGTCGCAAAGAAGAAAACTGGAGCCTTTCTCCCTTTAGTAACAACAGTGAGTGAGAAAAGGGAAGTGCAACATCCTTCCATCTGCAAAACAGAGCTTAACAATGCTATAAGCAATATATTGAATAATGATTAAAAGAAAGATTTGGTATTTAACATGATATGATGATTGAAAATCAGGATATCTCATTGATATTGAAGATTAATAAATTGAATTGATCTTCCGATTGTGAAATACTGAGATGGGTGTAACGGTCGTATGACTATGAGTCATTGGGAGAGAAGGGTCAGCAAGGGGAAAGGAAATGGCCAAACAAGGACATCTCTGGCCCAACTGAATTTAAGGATGAACAAGCTATGTGACAGTAGTCATGCAGACAGAAAGAGGGTGGTGGCTGATTTGACAAAGAAACTCAGCCACGGAGTAGGATATATAAAGAGGAGTCAGAGAGAGATCACTTCAGAGATTCTTCAGGGGACTTCAAGAGATCGAGCCACAGAGGGTAACCACAACGACCAAACCAACTGAAGAATCATTGGACTCTGAAGATTTTCTCTCACTCAAGCTGCAACGAAGACTGAAGACTTTTGAAGACAATTTGAGGGCTTTGGACAAAGCCTCAAGTTTCCACCAGGGTCATCAGCCCAGCAGTGTAGGAAGGATTTCACCGGCCGGGACAACTCCTTCCCCTTCCTTTCTCTCCAAAAAGACGACTTCAAAATACTCAAGCTCAGCTATCATAATCAGGTTTTGAATTTAAGAGATTATCAGTTTACTCAAGTTTTAATCAGTTTAAGTTGTATGCTTGCCCTTGCTTAATTTTGCTATAAAATATATAATCACTGCATTTAAAGTACAAGTAGTAGACATTGAATTTATTTCTTCACTAAGGTAGTAATTTATTAGGTAAAGTGTGTTTAACACCTTGGGGCCTATTTTCCTGGCCACTAAACACAGTCCTAGCAACTATACCAAGTGCACTGATCAATGAGAAGAGAGCGGTCATTAACAGGCGTGGCTGGTGTGGTATTTGGCTCTAGGGCTATTCAGTCAGGTGCCATTTCAGAGTAAGCAGGGTAGGCATTCGGAAGAAGACAGTGAGAAGTTAGGCGAATCTCTTCGACACCAGCTTAAACAGTCCTCAGTTATATCTAATAGGGTAATACCCATAGGCCTAGAGGATCGGACCCTTTACGAAGGAGAGCTGGTCCAGTACCTCCTGAACAGGGGTAACTCGGGATCTAAAATATGTCATCTCAATATATAACATTATCGCACATTGAATATTTTCCTCATACCGTGCAGGCCTACCTCATGCCCATTGGGTCTGGTCTGACCAAATAACCATCACTAATTAATAATAAAGTATCAATAGTGGTATCGATAAAGAATCGGATCGTTAAGTGTCTCAATAAGGGTATCAATAATAAAAATTAACGATCCCCATCCCTACTGATGAAGTGCTGAATAAAAAGACTGATTATGACTGACCAAAGCCGCCTTTTATAACAGCCAAACAAGAGTTTGAAGAGAAAAAAAACAAATAAACTACGAAACAGTTGATGGCATCATTTTCTGAACCAGCTTCTTTATGAGTGATCTAAACATGTGTGGCATGAAACGAGCGGTCTATAACACTCGAGAAGCTGAAAGTGTCCGACAACGCCACTTGGGATAGGCCCAAGACCCTAAAAGCACACAGATCGTTTTGTCAAAATTAGGGGGCAGAGACAATCAAGTAATTATAAAAAAAATATATACACAATTTTATTTTTCTTTTGTCATAATTTAAAATAGCAACACCTGCTCTATTAAGAAAAAAATATGTAATGCGTATTAGAGAAAAACACCATTCAAATCAACAAACCCGCATGCGTAATTAAAGGATCAAAATCAAACAAAGAAAAAAAAACAAACAAACCCACATGCAATATACATCAAGTTGATACCAATATTTACAGAGCCAATGTCTGGATATTCAAACACTTAAAATGTATTACTCCAAACCAGTTCTGTGCATCCAGGACAGTCATATATCCAGACACTGTATCAATACACAGCAAAATTTTATACCGATATCCAGAACAGCATGAGTGGGAGGAGAAACACGCCGGGGAGTGTTAACCTCTTAGATAACTGTGGCACCCAACAGCCTCAACAGCAACATGCACACGGCTGTAGCTCGGTCCCGCTGTGATGTGAAAACACACCATTAAAAACAGGGCCACGATAAATTGTAGCAAACAGGCAAACAAGGTACTTACCGCTTTACGGGACACGCCACCCTCAGACCCCGGCAGGGGGGCAAGCTATCCAACTATAACAAATAAGACTATCAGATCTTGATAAACACCAAATAGGACGAAGAGGGAGGAATACAGCTTACCGAGGCACCCAACGCCAGCAGCCCAGGTATTCATCTATCCACACGGGGAATATCCACGGCGAAACAAAGTCGGTTCTGAGAGAACGCTCATTAGTGCCACCCGCCCAACAATGCAAACACTGAAAGGCACAAAAACAAAAGGACTTCCTTACCACTCCGCAGTAAACTAACGGCAACAAACGTGCAGCACGCCAGCCCAGACGCGTCTCCACACCCAACAGGAGAAGACAGAAACCCAAATGAGTCTACCACACAGGCTTAAAAAGGCAGCTCTCCACCTCCCCCAATCAAAGGGGATGAGCCCCAGGTGTGCTGGTGCACCTTCCCGTACACAGGTAAGAGGGAGGGGGAAAAAAACTCATCCTGCCACACATGTAATGACAGAAATGACTTTTACTGTCCGAGTGTCTTTTTGGAAAAGTCAAAATGTCTCTGTAAACCTGTGCTGGTTTTACCGCTCACCACATCAACGTGTAACGTGATCTCTGACTTGACATTGGAAGCGAGAGTCAGCCAGACTGCCAAAGAAACAGGAGTTGGCTGGGCCACTGACTGGACAATAGAAACCAGGACTTGCCCGGACCAACGATTGGACAGTGGGAGTCAACTGGGCAGCTAACGAAACATGAAGAGTTAGTGTTGGCCTGGCTGCAGACTGGAGATCAGGAACTGTCTGTTAGCCAGACTGCCGACTGGGACCCAGACAAAACCGGTGGCTATCCAATGGAACAGGGCAACTGAGTCTTTGGGACCAGCTGAAAGTCAATAGTGTTACGGCCCTTAGGCCGTGTGTGTGTGTCTGCCCAGGTGTACTGCTGCTTGTCTGTCCTCTGCAGGTCCTGCCCTTCCCCTTCTGCATGTTGCAGTCGGGAGGCTAGCGTGCACACCTGTTCCCAGTTTACAATCAGCGGGAGCGCAGGAGCTGGTACAAGGAGCAGAGAGCAGGCAGACTGAGGGGGAAGGGTGTGGAGAGCAGACCTATGTAGACAGACGGCTTACGAGAGCTTGGTGACACTGCTGTGGCGTTTGTGGAGTCCTTGCAGTGGTATGGATCAAGTCTGAACCTCATGTTGGGGTTTACTCCCTCAGTGGAGGGAGGGTGGTATTTGTTATTGTATTAATTTCTCCTTTGTGGCATTTGTCTTCCTGTGAGCTACCTTTTAGTTTGATGGCGTGTTGTCTCAACCGTATCCTGAACTGGGCGCTTCCTCTTTGTTTTTGGGAAGTTTTTTTTTTTTTTATACCTTAATAAAACGTAAATAAAACGCCAAACTATACTGATAAATCCATCTACTTTCTTCCTTCAACCTGGAATGATTTTATTATTGTCACTAACCTCCAGAGATGCTCACAAGTCTTTGAGCTAGCGTCCAAGTCAAGTCTCTCATGGTCATTATGAATGCTGTATCACCTGCTGCGTTCAATCCAGGTTGCTAATAAAACAGCATGGCTATAAGGAATTCTGTAACTGTAACCTGTTTTTCATTTACAGAGCACAACCATGTAGCCTAATGTACAATGCGTCTACAATTAATGACAGCTTATTAAATACTGTAAGTCAACACACTCCCCAGACTCTCAAACCCAGTGTAACGTTAACTAAATAAAACTGTGACGTTGCATAATCAACAATAAACCTGTAACCTGTTTTTAACTTACAGAGCACAACCATGTAGCCTTTGTTTGTTTGTTTGTTTGTTTGTTTACTTTATTTATACCCGTAGGTAAATTTGTAATGTACAATGCGTCTACAATTAATGACAGCTTATTAAATACTGTAAGTCAACACACTCCCCAGACTCTCAAACCCAGTGTAAGTTATAACTAAATAAAACTGTAAAGTTACATAGTCAACAATAAAGCTGTAACCTGTTTTTAACTTACAGAGCACAACCTGTGCAATGCAGTTAATGACAGCTTATAAACTACTGTAAGTCAACACATCCTCCTGACTCTCAAATCAATAAACTGTAACCTGTTTTTAACTTACAGAGCACAACCATAATGTGCAATGCAATCACTGACAGCTTAAACTACTCATCACCAGACTCTCAAACCAGTGTAACGTTATAATTAAATAAAACTAAGGTTACATGGTCAATAATAAACCTGTAACCTCTTTCTAACCAACGGTAAAAATTAACGTGATGGCAGCCAGCGGGACATAATTACGATTACGTTAATCGACCACCACAAGTTTGGCAAGTAAACAAACGCTCGTTCATCATTTCATAATGAATGACAGTCGGAGTAAACCTCTCGTCGGTCGTAGCTGAAGCAAGAAGCAAGCTAACGTTAGATGGCCAATGCTGAGCTAAACAGGTTTACTCACCACAGGTTACTAACCTATTTGCGTGTGTCTTTGTTTGGGTCTTGTTTTATGAAGTTTTAAAGCCAAAGTTTATGATGAATGGCGGAGCAGCTGTCGGTGTTTGTTGTCCACTCTCACGTGCGGCTGCGCACAGCAGATGCTACGTGTTATGTATGCAGGTTATAGGTAACGGAGGGAAGGGAATAACGGCAAGCTCATCAGACGTTTCCTAAAAATAAACATTGTTCACGAGTCACTGTGTGTGCGACTTAAGTCGCACTCAAGTCCGAGTCTCTAACTCGAGTCCCCATCTCTGCTAACCTCCTCCTCCCCTGGACTTTCCACTGGAGGTTCGTAACAATAGCAAGAATATCAAAGACTCTAGGGCGCTGATTAGCTGAGTTTCTGTGGAGATGACCAACAAAGTTTCTGGAGCGCTGGGCAGCTCAGTCTCTGGGGTGACGGGCAGCAAGACTTCAGCAGCGCCAGGCTTTGTGGAAAAGAGAGGTTGAGACGGCCAATTCATAGTTTTCAGTCGTGACATGCGCGCTCACACTAGACTCCCTCGTAGACACTGCAAAAGCAGTTAAAATTGGATCACCTCTCAACTCAAGAAAAAGATAGATATGGACACAAACTGCAAGTGTTGGGCACTTGAAGGGAATCCCTCACCTAAAACAGCTCAGGCTGGTCTCCTCATTGATTAGTGCATCCGAAAGCACAACAAACATCCAGCATTTTGGCAATGCAAAAGAACAAACTCAAAGTAAGAGTCTATCACTTGCTTCCTGGCTGGCAGTCAGCGGAAAATAAAATTTATTTTGCCCTCCAAGGGAGCGTTTTCCTTAGAATGTGATGTCACGTGAAAACTATGAATAGGGCCTGGAATCATGACAACCAGTTCTCCTCTTGTGGCCTCCAAAGGACCCACGGAAAAAGGCCTGGTGAATTCCCTCAATGTAGGGCATCAGGGTAGCCACTTGAACAGTTCATAGATTTAAAGGATTCTGGGAAGGTAGGTAGATTTATTTGTCACAATACAACAGGTTATAGAATTACATTTTGTAAAGTTTGTAACTCCCTTCTGCTACATAGCAGACAACATACATTAATGTAGAAGCAATTATAAAAATGGTAAACAGAAATGAACTATATTCAATGGAGCAGTGCTGAGGATGAATTAGAGTTTAACAGTCTGATAGCTTGGGGGAAAAAGCTGTTCTATTTCGTATAGGCTTCACCCTTCGCCCACTGAGAATTTTAATCTACGCCCACCCACAGTGTGGGCCTCTCCTACGTCCGCACCTATAATATATATACACAACAGTGAGACCCAGCCTTCGGCTCCCATTTTTCTTCAGCACTGAGCTGTCTAAAGAGCAGAAGATTGTCTAAAGCGCAAAGACTTTCCAGCCGGAAAACTGGAACCGTGGTGATTCCCCTGGGCCTTCTCCAAATGAGGAGGCTGTAGCGGTGTGGCAGGGGTAAACCCATTACCGATAGCCTTAGAGGGCTGCGCCTATACTCATAGAATCCGGGTTACAGCACATAACCCCCGTTCTGCAGTCTGGTGGTGTGGCAGCTTCTATATCTCTTCCCAGAAGGCAGCAGTATGCAGGCTGTGGCTGGGGTGGGTACTGTCCTTTAATATCCTTTGGGCTCTGCATAGGCACCTCACCTCACTGACATCACTGATGCTCGGGAGATGGGTACCAATGATCTTCTGAGCAGTTTTAATCACCCGCTGCAGAGCCCACTGGCTGCAGAGCCCAGGACACTACTGGTTACTTTGGGCCTCTAACTGGAATTAGGCTTTCAAAGTGCCACCACTACCAGTTTGAAGGGCACCGGCTTCTATGCATGTGTCAACATGTCTGTCTGTATTTGAAATTTGTGCAAGAATGACACAATGCTTCCAAATGCAGAGGAACCACTAAATGAAATATATTATATTTTCAATATGAAAAATTATGGAATGGAATGAGAAACAAACCTTAAATATTATATACATAATTACATATATAAACATATTTTTAAAAAGCAACAATGAATAACAACAACATAAAATGTCTAAATACAAACCAAACAGTTTTTGTAAATTGTAAACAAGAGTGCAGAGTGCATAGAGTGCTTGAGTAAATATTAAATGAATAATGTAATAGATTACTTTATACATTACATGAAGTAGGTGGATATACACTATGCATGTAATGGATGTCTATATGCAGTATTTACAGCATGCTAAGATTTATATTTGACAATGATATGTAAATATTTAAAAGGTGTGTATTTAAACTATAAAATCCTTCTTTATTTGTAGGTAAATTACACATTTTATAGTTTAAACACACTTTACCTAATGTATTCAGTGCTTAGATAAAAAGTTGTTGACATCTTTAAGAATAAAAGCATAACAAAATATTCACTAAGCAGTTTTAAATAGCACACCTTCTGTCAGTCACACAGTGTTGATGTGGCTCCCACAGCATCGGAAAAATCAAGGAACAAAAAGGTCCATGTTGTCATGGAGATACAGTATCTGGTATTTATTGGTTGTGTGGAGAATTTTGTGTCAAGTCTTTTAAATAAGAACTCAGAAAGAATTCAAAGCAGGGTCACTAACACTTCCACCAACCAGAGGAAATAAAGTTGTAGGAAGAGAAAATTCACATCAACATGTTAGGAACTGAAAATGAGACATTTCACCCCCCTTCACATTTGCAATAAAACAAACAAAAAAGGCACAATGTTCACAAACATCACAAATATATTTTGAAAACTTTAATCTAACCTCTTCTGTCTCTGAGCTAAATTAGAGTTTATGACATGAAAGAGGATATTTCTAATCTTTATTCCCTCACTATGACTGTAGATGCACAGCTACACAGCTATAGCTAAAAACATTTTCA